TTGCTGACTTAATCCGCTGGTTCTTTACAACAGTGATCAAGGACAGCAATTTTCTGGATTTAAGAGTCAGTAGATAATTCTTAACTGGACCCAGCTATCCTTAGTATCTTGGGTTCAGAAAAATAGTCTTGGCTAATTAAACAGCTGGTTTTAGCCAGTAACAAAGCTGACAACACTCAATCTTCACTCATATTTGGTCTTAAATACGCACCTCGATGGTGTCCCCCATCTCAATTTTTGAATATGATACATCAACCAACATCTCTTCATGTACAATATGCGACGTATGATAGTGTTGGACTGAGTAGACATAACCGGTATGTCGCAAGTGGCAAGGTAGAATGTCTATGAGAGAGAGACAGTGATAGTGTAACTGTACAGTAACTAACCGTGAGAGTGGTCAACAGAACACAACACCAACACTGACTGAGTGTTATGTGATATGGTCAACTGATACACACCAACACACTGCTGCGTTTGGAATCCATTTCTGCAACGAATCGAGTAAAAAGTCCGAACTGCGAGTTTCTGGAATAGAATAGCGTGCGATCGTGAAATGTAATCCTCGTTCTTCGTTCTACAGGACAGTCTTGGATCAATCCATCATTAGCATATCTATATCCATTCACCGATGAGACTTTCTTATTTTGTGTTTACAAAAACCACTGGAAGGTGTTCGTTTGCGTCGGCTACTCCTAGGTATTACTATTTTTTGGTAGCTGGATCATCGGCACTATTCCGTTAAATGATCTCAGCTATGTCACCTGCAACACGAAAATACAGTATGCTAGGTAGTTCAGTGGTTATAGTGCTCTACTAGTAATTATATGGCTGCCAGTTCGATCCTGAGAAAAAAGTGTAGCTTTTTGATGGTTTGAATTCGGACCCAGCTGAGATTATTGGGCTTTAAATAAATTATCCTGGCTATTGAAACAGCTGGTAAATAACAAAGCTACATAGATCATCTCACTCCATTCCACACTCCTTCACTCATATTTGGTTTAAATCATTGAATAGTCAAAGGTTAAATACGCACCTAGGTGGCGACTAACTACCTCAGTGAAACTCCGGGGATCCTATAGTTTCATTGCAACAGCATTGTTGTTCAAAATTGTTTAGCAAGCCCACACTACGTATTAATAAATCGCATCTTACGCTCTGGTGCGAGGTTACATTGTTAAATTCTCCTTGATTGATTGAAGACTGGATTTAGTGTTCAAAGTGTAATCCTTGTCTCAGGTGTTCCAAGGCTGAGGATGACTAATGGGTCGTTCGTGATCGTTTTCTTTATAACTTGTTTACCGCCTAGTTAGGTTCCTACAGTTTACGATAGCTGCTGGTGATGTAGTTTTTCAAATTAGTAAAGAGGTTTCCACATTAAAAGCATATTTTTATGTTGTTTGTCCTTGAATTTAATCATTATAAAGATTCAAAAAGATTTCTTTAATTGAGGTGCATTTGATGGCTTGGGTTGACAAAAAATGACTATTAATGAATAACATTTCTTACTAACTATAATATACATTGTAGTGTAATAAGTCCTTCAACCTCTCCGCCTACGTCATAGTTATTTCATTCAATGAAGACATCGCCCGCCTCACCATTTCAGTAAATCTTAGCAAATATCTGAATTCTGTATGGGCAGCTCTTGAAAAGCATTTTTGCAAAAACAAAATCCCACGATAAAAAATGAAAGGTTATTTCAATCACGTTGATACATATACTTTTGATCTCTTCGCCTTCAGATACAGTGTCAAACCATAGATAAAAGGAGTCCTTTTATCTATGGTCAAACGAACCTCAAGGCCAACCTTGATCCTTGGTCCAAGACATCCATCTCTGTCGTCAGTCCAGCTCCTCAGTCCAGTCCAGTCTGTCGGCGTCTTTGTCTCAGACCGGAGTGACTTATGATCTGTTCCGGTCCAGACCGCATCTTCCGCTCTCACGCACCTGTCCTTCCCCCGGCCACCCCTCTCCCTCCCCCGTGACGTAACCCTTCATCACGACCAGGTGACAGACTACATTCCCATTGCGGTGATCACCACATCGTCACATATGAACGAAGGCGATGTATCATCTTCATGTGGGAAAACATCGATGTTTAGGTAACTTGATACAACATAGCAAGTAGGATCGGACTCCAAAGAAGTTTAACCAAGAATAGAGAGGTAGCAGAGAGTTGTCGGGGAAGATACTGGAGTTGGAAACGTTCATAATCCATAGAAAACCCATATAAACCCATATAAAATCCATAGAGAACCGTGCAAGGTTTGGGGCAGAGATAAAATCTATGATTTTGAGTAGCAGGCATGAGTGAGTCTCTGGCGCTGGTGTGGCGGGTTGTTGGCGGCTTGTATGAATGGACTTTTTGGGTTTAAATTTAATTTCAACATGTTTATAATATGGTACCTTAGATTATTTAATTTTATTTATAAAGTGGTTAGTTTATTTATGTTTTAGAGGTTAAGTGGTAGAGAGGACTTGCTAGTCCTAACTTCGCCTCTTAAATAAAGACATTTTTCATTTCATTTCATTTTTCATTTCATTTCATTTCATTTCATAATCACTTTGTGATTGAAGGTCTTTTTGGTAGTTGTGTCTTCTGGTAAAACTGTGTTCACTTTTTGAAAGCTCGTTAGATTTGTCCTACAAGTTGTCGTTCAGTTAATTCAGCTGGTATTCTAAACCCTGGTATTCTTGACTATAAAACGAGATAAAATAATAACCGTAGAACTCATTAATTAATTACACTATCGCCGTATGGCATAACTTCACATCATGCTAATTGCTCTCTAACAAAGAGAGCTAATATAATATTCGAATATAATATTGGGAACCTTTATGGTTCCCATTGTCATAACAGATTGTCAGATTTTAAATAAATCTATGTATCCACTATTATACATTAAATTATATTAATGTATATGCTTGAAAAAGACCTTATTCCATAATCTTCTTTTTACATGATGTCTGAGAACACCAACATTAAATTTTTAAAAACTATGGTTTTAGACATTAGCAGACTAATCTCGGTGATTTTTTTTAACTCTTTGACATTATGACAGTTTGACATTATGATATTCTTAAATTAGTTTTATACTTTATTACACCTCATGTTGGTTTGGACATTATGAGAGAGGCTTAAACGTCTAAACACCCTCGTTCAATATACAGTCCGAGTACATGCTAAGTATGTTTTTAGACAAAGTGATTACTACGGAAGTCTAAAATCCTTTTTATAATGCAAAAGATATAATCTGTATACAGTGACTTGCTCTTGCCGTTAATTTCACTCGTATTGTATGTAGACTCGTGAGTTTTTCTACAGATTCAATTTAATTCAAGTGAGACGTGAATTAACTCACTCAAATTGGTGGAGAAGTTGTCAATATAGTTTTCCACTCGACCATTACTTAGCGCAGGTTATAGACCTGGATGTAGTGTTGACTAGAGGACTTAAAAATTTGTGTTCAATGGTTATATAGAACCAGTTGTAGCGATAACTAAGGACTGTGTTTGTATCCAATGGTTTGCCCTACAGTGTTACACAGGGGGAGACTAAGAGTAGGAAGGCAGCTGTCGAAGTTCAGGTATCACGTTTCATTGTTCGAACCCTCCTCAGCTGTTATTCAAGCATTAGCATTACGTCCCTAGTATAAGAAAGAACTAAAATCTTCAACTGGAAATCATAGCGATTGTGAAATATATCAACTACACTTTTGGTTTAGTTATTATAAGTATACTAGCAGTCATACCCGTCCTTCGTACGGGGTTGGCATATAAGTATAAAATGATTATTCCAGTTATATTCAAGCTTTGCGTTTGCAATGGGGGAGGACACAGTTTTATACATTTGTTTTCTTTAAATTTACAGTATACTATAGTATGGCACATCTACAATAGTCATAATGTTCTACCACTTCACCTAAACAATAGATAAAAACAAATTATAAAAACATTTGCTAAATATCACAAATTATTCATGAAATAAAAAATAAATATAACTGTAAACAATCCTACTTTGACAGTTCTCATTGCTTATCACAGTTTTTTGCTGCTGCTTAGTTCAAATTAGCTGTTTTCATAAATGCAAAAAAATAATAGTGCTGCAACCTGTTGGTAAATCTTATAACTTTTAATGCTTTTGTTTATCATAAAACCAACTTTTTCAGTTTAACAGCTGACTAAATACTTTAATTCCCTTTAAATATGAATACTCATAAGGTTAACATGGGGAACTACAGAGCCACTGGGGCGGAGCCCGAAAGGATTTTTGAGATAAGAATATGCCTATATGTTAATCGGGAATGTGAGCTATCATCATACCAAATTTCAGCCCAATCCGTCCAGTAGTTAATGCGTGATTGAACTTCAAACAAACAAACAAACAAACACACAAACTTTCACATTTATAATATTAGTAAGATTTTGCACTGTTTACACGTCACAATGTTCATTTCAGAGATGAAGGGTGACACAGACACCTTTATAGAATTGTTCTCGTTTGCAGTAAAATTTAAAATGTAGGCCTATGAAATAGCCATCTACCTATGAAGCAGGCAGGTAGTATAGTGTAATATCAATATTTTTTCCTACAGTCACCTGACAAAGTGGGTACTGCCTTCCTTGCACTGATTATAGTACAGAAAGTTGCTAATTGCTGCATTTACTTACTTTTGCCGCACTTCATTATTCCAACCAAACAACACAAAACAGCGTGCTTTTATTAGGCACATAATACGTATACGCTTGAAAATATGTTGGCAACACTTCATAATAAAACTACGATCAACTGGTGCAGCGTTTCCCATTTCGTTCAACGCTTGGATTTAACCTAACCTAAAAACGTTGTATAGTGATTGAAAAACTAATTATTTATACGCTTTATAGTTACTGTAGGACAAATATAATGTGTAGTGCGTGTGCAAAGTACCTTTGCTGCTCGCACACTAGTTACACAAATAAATATTACTCTGTTCAAACAATTTTATAATTTCCAGGTGGCTGCAACTTCTCTGCATAATGACGAAGAACCCCTTTTCATGTAAGTTATTATGTTTTAGTTTAATTTAATTTATCTTTGTAATAGCTAATCTGTACATTGTTCTTATTATTTATTAGTGTTGGACAACGTGCTCTACAAGATATAATTGTATTTTTTATGAGTCCAACATAGCATTAAAATTACTTTAGTACAATGAACTGACCACACTTTAAGTACTGACCACTGATCCTGTTCCGGCCGCTATAAATATTATTATCTTACTAATATTATAAATGTGAAAGTTTGTGTGTTTGTTTGTTTGTTTGTTTGAAGTTCAATCAAGCATAAACCACTGGACGGATTGGGCTGAAATTTGGCATGATGATAGCTTACATTCCCGATTAACATATAGGCATATTCTTATCTCAAAAATCCTTTCGGGCTCCGCCCCAGTGGCTCTGTAATTCCCCATGTTAACCTTATAAGTATTCATATTTAAAGGGAATTAAAGAATTTAGTCAGCTGTTTCAACTAAAAAAGTTGGTTCTATGATATGGAAAAGCATTAAAAAGTTATAAGATTTACCAACAGGGTGCAGCACTATATTTTTTTGCATTTATGAAAACAGCTAATTTGAACTAAGCAGCAACAAAAAACTGTGATTCGCAATGAGAACTGTCAAAGTAGGATTGTTTACAGTTATGTTTATGTTTTTCATTTCATGAATAATTTGTGATATTTTGCGAATTGATAATTTATTTTTCTCTATTGTTTGGTGAAATGGTAGAACATTATGGCTATGGTAGATGTGTAATACTATAGAATACTGTAAATTTAAAAAAGCAAATTTTATCAAACTGCGTCCTCCACCCATTTGCAATCGCAAAGCTTAAGTATAACTGCAATAAGCATTTTATACTTATATTCCAACCCCGTACGAAGGACGGGTACTCTGCTAGTTTAGACATAATTGTGTATTTGTCTCTGACGACTCTTCTAACCACCATGATGTAGATTTTCTTATTCCCTTTTTTGTCGATTTGAAAACAGTGGTCGCATAAAAACGGTGAAACCACGATATCAACGGGTTCATACGACGAACGGTTGATTGTTATAAGTTTAGTCTAGCTGTTTCTGCTTATGCAGTGTTCATTTGGATAGACAAATATTCTACATAGTTGTAGTATAGTTATATTTTACACTAGTGGCTTGTAGGGACATAAGTCCCTAAAAAGCTCAAATGTAAAACAACTTTTTGCAATACCGGTATTTAAACAAACTCAGAATAACATTATCTATGTGTCAGAATAGGCATCCCTACACCATATCTTTTGTGTAAAAACCAGTTTGTTGTTCTTCTTTGTTTGCTTTTGTTGATGTCATTTTCAATAAATAATTTGAATCACTCCAGTGGTTTAACATGAAAAGGCAGCAAACAAATCATTGTTTGTGAATAAATACTGGTTTACTAAGGTAGCTTTGGTCTTGTGGTTAATGAGGATAAATAAAAGCTTCCCTGTTTGGAATTTTAAAAATTCATTGGAGGTTCGCCTTCAGATGAATTGAAGACGCCTGCAATTTCATCTGCAGTAGGCTTATTATACCTACGACGATCCATATTTATCCTGTCTACAAACCTAAGTTCTAATTCACTGTCACCTTGTACAACCATTTCTTCCGAAGCTCTTTTGTAAATTTGTGCAAATGGATTTTCTAATAGAATTTCAGCTAGTTTTGACAATATTCAGGTTTTAAGTCACTATTTTCTCGACGCCTTTGACGAATTTCTGTTGCTGTTGATGTGTCAATAATGTACAATTGGCCATACACGGGGTCTTCATCATGTTGAGGCAGCAAATCTGAGCTTGAACGATAAATCTGTCCTTGAATTTTGAAACAGTATGGTCCTTTTCCTGGAATATCTTTCTTACTAGCTGAAAAATGAGCAAAAGCCATCGCACTGTTGCATTGTCGAATGAATTAATACAGTTGTGGGCTCTCTTCAAACAAACTTTTAAGTTCTACATTAGTTTTTGACTGAGGAAGGTTAATAAGTCTGTTATGGCAACATGTCATAAAATGATTATTCGTTAGTTCTTCTCTAAAATGAAGAGCACTACATTGAATGCACTCTTGGTCCAATAATCCTGCATCATGGATCTTTACATTTCTCTCGTCTACCATGGGTCTCCTAAAAAGGGGTTGTAACATATCTTGATTAAGTTCGTCATTATCTACTCTTGCTCTCCTACGCGCACTGTCATTCCTATGAACAGTTCCCCGCCTTTGTGGTATTCCCCTGGCGTTCATATTAATTACAGTACTTATAATGAAAAGAATATCAGCAGCCTACATACCAAAACATCTTGAATCCCTGGTGATTTTATAAAAGAATGATCGAATATGATTACTCTACGTTGTATATTCACTGCACTAAAAAAATTTATTTAAGAAGGAATGCAAATACACTATTTTAGAACCAATAACATTTATAGGTTATTTTAGTTGTATATATTTACACAACCTTAACCTTAAAATGTGTAGAAATATAAAGAAAACAACATCATTTAAAATAAACTTGAACATATGATTTAAAAATAAAAACAAAACAGAAGTTAGATTTAATTTCGACTCTTTGATTATTTATACAGAATATTTATTCTATGTCGTTTATTCCTTTAACACGACAATAACGTAAAAGCATGAAAATATGAAACTTGAGTATATGATTTAAATATAAACAAAGAATGCAGACGTTTTTCCGACTAATCTTCAATATTTCAGTTTTATTATAGTATACATTTCATAGTTGACTGGCTAAAAGTAAACCAAATGTGTGTATTGATCACTGTTTTCAAATCTGTGGCACAGCTGTTTTAATTTCAAAAGATGTAAACAAATTAAACCCCATGTTGTTTTAATGGGAAAAGTTTTATTCTGTTGCGAATTTATGGTAAAAAAATAAGAAAAATGAATAGTTTTCCCTCAAAATTCACGTCAAGACCTTTAAAATAAGACCCCTCCCATCCTTCTACGATCCAGTCACTCACAATTTCTTTACAAAAATTTGACTTACGGAATTATATATATAGATTGTAACTCGTGGTAGTAATATGCGTTTGCTATCGCATACGCAATGTAGGCCTATACCACCCTAGGCCTCGCTCGGCCTGGTTTATATTCTCTGCGGTTTAACGGTTGGAGGCATCAACTCTCGCACATTTTGCGTGTTTACGAGAATTTTGGGAGTTTTTAATTAGTAATTTTCTTTACAAAAACCTAACACCTGCTTGCTAACCTATCCGAAAGCGAGCTGCGCTCATAATGAGCGCTGTTTCGATGGAAGATTACCCAATTTTTGAACCTTTTACTATCTTATGAAATTATGAATACATTTCAACAACTTGCTATGTAATGTATTTAAGAACAAACGGAGACTCTTTGTGCCTTAAGATGATCAATTTGTACTAAATATCACTTAACCATGATTTTTTGTGTATAAAAAGCGTTTATTTTATTTGATAGGTACTACCGGTATGGATCTTAAACATAAACAAATGACGTTGTTGGCCCGAATCCTATACTAATAGCATTGAACATATGTTTTGGCAGTTCCATTTAAGCAATGTAAAATAATGTTTATTTCCGGGCCAAAAACGTCATTTGTTTATGTTTATGATCCATACCGGTATTTTTCTAGTAATCGTGGGTACTTCATTTGACTGGATTATCCAATAATTCTGGGACGGAGACGTCGTCCTGTAATCCAGCTACTAGGATTTCACGAATTGTGGATGTTTATAAGCATGCACTGTGGATGCGATGCTCCCTGGTGTGGATTAACTAAATTCATCCAACGATCTTCGCATTCCTTTGTATAATTGGTGGCGATTTTTTGGTGCTGTCACGGTGGCGGAAGTGTTGCGACATGTCGGACGTAGGTAGCTGGTACATCGGTAACTGTTCCAACCGTGGAGCCGTTACAGGTGTAAATGTCACTGTTGCACAACCATCAACCAAAAGCACGTATCGCGGACCGCGGGCAGAGGCAGATACAGTGGCGATGTAGGAGTTATGCTGTGGTATTTAGAGAAAGTAGGGGACAACATTGCGTAAGTTACACGTACCATTGACGACGTAGTGGCCCACTACGTCATGTGTGGAATTTCGGCCAATGAGAGGCTACTTGGAGTCCATATGATCAGCTGTTTCAGTGATAGTGTAGTGGAGTGCTGTTGGGCTTGTGTTCAGAGGGCGAGCTTCTGTCTTTTAAGGTCGAGTGGTTCGATGACTACGAATAAGCTGTAGAAAATAAGATAAAACCAAGTGAGGGAGAACAACCCCTAATAAAAGACGTGATCTATTTGTTTACATCTGTAGAAATAGGTTTAGCGTTATCGGAGCTTTGGGAATTAACGATAGGAGCTGACAATTTAGGTGGTGGGTAAAGAATAACATCTCACTTCTTGTAGAGTGGTACAGATGGCACGCGTGCGGGGTTGAGTGCAGGGCACACGCTCCGTTTCCCGATGGTAGAGTCCCGGATAGTTTAATGCAGTCAGTGTCTTGGTAGGTCTCTAGGGCTAGGATAGCGTTCTACGTATTTAAAAACTTCCTCCTCCTAAAACCTCATGAGATTTAGTGCGCTAGAGTCTAACCGGAGGGAAATTCAGGACGGAAAGTGGTTTGTACAATAAATGATTGATATTGTAAATTAAGTTTGAACTAGTGTTCATGTTGCTCGAATTCGAGCAATTGTAAAGTATTACAGGATTTGAAAACCAATAACAATCATACTAAGCTATCAACATTTCAACAAAAACACACCTACCTTCCCTGTAGCAGCAAACCTAGGTACTCATATTAAAATTAACTTAATGTTATTTAAATAGGGAAAAAAATGACAATTTTCAGGGAATATCTTTGTAGAAATTAATCCAGGTAAATGGAAATTCGCTTAGTCTGAAGGTTTGCTGCGGATACACAATTTTAATAACAGCTATGATTGTAGAATTTAAATTATTACTTATCCATGAATTTATATAACAATTATTTCCTGT